AACGACTGCAAGACCAAAAAAAACACACTTGGCAGGACCCTCCTGAAAAAGAGTCTTGAGACTCAGCGAGGCTTTCCTGGGGCGAACGGGCGGAACAGAAAAGTGCTATGTTGTCGGGCAGCCCGTGATTGGTCAATGGTCACGTTCTGTTGACCCGCCCATACTGGAGATCTGTGGGGGGTGAAGAGCTTCATAGCTCATCGGATTCCTCCTCCGGTCTAAATAACGATTCTGGTGTCTCCCACAGCACCTCCAAAACCTCGCCACCGCTTCCTTTCCTTCTGCTGGATCTCGAAGCCGCTGCAAGAGTCACTGCGTCGGGTTTATTGTTTTCTCTGATGCGCTGTCACGGCTCTCCCCACTGTGTTCTGTGGCTCCACCGCGCCTCGTTCGGCCTCGGCGTACCGACGACGCTTCGCTCGCGCCACGTGCTGGGAGCGTCTTCGGAAACTTTACGTTCGATGTACGCCAAGCGGAACTTATTTGACAACCGTACGTAGCCAAACAGTGCCAATCGAGGGTGAAGAGGGGTCACGTGATCGGAGCTTCTGAACAAAGATCGATTTACACTATGAGATCTCTTTTACCAGTGGCAAAATATAGTAGTAGGTTTTTACCCTTTAAAACTGGTACAAAACTGACACCTTTATTCAGGCATCATGTTTGCAATAACCACAACACAAGTAGTCAAAAAAGCAAACAAAAAGAAGCAACTCTGATAATGATAATAATATGCACTGTCCTTGAAGTTGATTGGTCCACACCCGATACGGCTTTCTTTAGAGCCTAGTCCCCAATTGGTGTTGGACCAGATGACACCAGAAGGCGTACAACTCAAACACAGTGCAATATCAGAGTATTGAGAGCTCGGGGTAAGCATTTACACTATGAGATCTCTTTTATGATGCCTTGAATAAAGGTGTCAGTTTTGTACCAGTTTAAAAGGGTAAAAACCTACTACTAAAGATCGATTTCAAGAACGTGGAGGGGGAATAAAGGTCGGGGACTCCAGAGAGCTATTGCAAAAAAAAAAAAGTTGAAAACTCACTCGTTTGTGTGCGAGGTGCAGTTGGTCAATGATAGGTTGCGTTGAGGCTACGGAACGCATCTCGACACGGCCAGGGGTTTCCCAGGTGCCGATTGGGCGTGCAGTTTGATGGCTCAATTTCTTTTCAACGCTGGGTCACTCGCTCTCTCTCTCTCTCGTTGCTCGACACTGCGGGAGGAAGAATAACACACGGGCCCTCTCACTCGGCTCAATCGGTTTAATTGTGCGTGAATTTACCCATTTGCGCCTTAAACTGCGTGGGCCAATCTGGGTTATTCATTCACGACCTGAAGCTTGTCGATCTACGCCGTAAAGATTGTGAAGGGCGACGTCCAGCGCCAGGGGGAATTGAACTCAGGCCATCGGGTTCATAGTGCGGAGGGAGATTGCAACCTTGACGATGTCCTCCCGTTAAAAGAAGTCCAATTGGAAGTCCTGCTTCAAACGAATGCTGCCAATAACGCTGCGTACGTTTAATTTATTTCACACCGATCGTAGCCAGCTATGGGGGAAGACAACAAACTAAATGCAACAAGCAGTTGTAAATAAATTAGTTTAAATTAAACATTTTTTATTTTACCAGGTAAGGCCCACTGAGCTAAATTTCTTTTTTTTTTCAGAAGCGACCTGGGCACAAATGACAGCTCAGCGAAGTTGTTTATCACGTGGAAATGTATAGCAGCCAAATACTCTAAACCCGTGTTTCTAAATGTGGAGGGAAAAACCGGAGGACCCAGAGAAAAATCCACGCGACCACGGGCAGAGAGAAACGCAAACTCCAAATATACAGCAGCAGGCGTCAAGGTCGGGATCGAACCCACGACCTCCTGTACACCAGGCGAGGTAGTTAACATCTCGTCATCGTGGCGCCCTGCGAAATAGGCGTGACGCACTCACTCTACACCACCACTACACCACGTCCATGTACAGTTTATTCTGTAAATATTGTACAGTAGTGTACATGCCTACGTGCAAACTGATGTGCAGATGTCCAGGCATTCTTCTTAAATCGAATGGCTGACGGAGATGCAACGCAACAACGACAGTTTCACACGCAGGTGGTCAAACCCAGATAACCGCGGCAGGAGTGGTGCAGTGTATCATCGTCGCGATGTCTACTTCGTATTTGTGGATCGGTGCATTCCGTCGTTACGCATTGTACGGTATGTTCTAGATGACCACCATTGCACAGGCACCCTGCTCAATTCTAGATTTGAAGCTTTCGTGACTGCAAGGATTCATACGCTTAGGTTTTTTCGGTAAAGTCACGTAGGTAAAAAATAACATTAAAATTAATGAAAGTAAAAAAAAAAATGTATTTTATTTTTATTAATTATAATAAAAGGGAATCTATTTATTCATTTATTTATTATTTTATTTTCATTAATTTTCTTTTTCTTTTTTACCTACGTGACTTTACCGAAAAAACCTAAGAGTATGAACCCTGCTCAATGTCTAATGTGGGCAAAGCACAAGAATAATGAACCGTTAACACACGCTGGTCATGTGTGATATGAAATTACCATTTTATTATAATTCATATATATATTTTTTTACAAATCACGATGCAGATCAATACAGTACACGTGAATAATATTCACAAAATCCACCAACCCAGCGGTGAGAGCATGAGAAGCGGGCGGAAAATTGAGAAAGTGATATTAAAAGTACACAGACGAGCACTCGCTTTATATATATATTTTAAAAGTCCTACAACCCCTAAAAGCCAATAGACTTTATTATATTACCGACACAAAATCAGAGTTTTCAAAATAGGCTTCTCTCATTAGGTCGGCGTGGCTGATTCTGGTGACACTCAAAAAACTTTTGACTGGCCCTTTGTAATCCTTGCAATCTACGCATTACAGCCTCAATGGTCAACAACACCCGTTTTCCACTGTCACATCGAAGCCGAGCCAGTGCAGGGCACTTACGGCACGGGTGGATTTCCACTGGCTATTTGCCTTGTCCGAGCCGAAACCGCAGAGTGATGCGCTGGCCTCACAAGCCCTCTGAATGCGACTCGGGGTCAAACGGGGCCTCGCTAATGACGCATTCATTGCAAGTGATGTCAGTTAGTACACAGCGAGGACAAACGCGTCACCGCGTCACGTCTACACGTGACTCGACACGTTCATTGTGGGCGGTGCGGTGCTAAAACAACCTGGCACATCCTGAGCCGCACTTGGCTGGCTTGGCATGGGTCTGGCTGTGGCCCAGTTGTGCAGTGGAAAAGGAGGTACACAACAAGTGTGCCGGAGGAAAGAGCCTGCAGTTTTGAAACCCTCCCCCCATGACCCATCTCCAACACACTGTGTTGTGCGCGTGTTCTGATGCACGCACGTTCCATTAACGGTGGGCGACTGAGAGAAATGAGCGCATACATCAATGTCACGATGACATTTGCGCTTGGTGGCCCCCGGTTAATAAACATTGCACAGCAGAAAGGTTTAGCACTACATACAACAAAAATATACCATGGAATGTTGTCTATGTAGAATACAGCAGCATTATTATTTTAGAAGAAAACAATCCACTTAAACTAGTTAGCAAAATAGATGTGGACATTTCCTAGTTCAAGTGTCCTTTTTCAGTGAAGTTGGCACCCTTAAGTGCAAAAACTGCAATGCCAAAGGTCCCCGCATTAAGTTGAAATAACTATCGGAATTATTATTATACCCAGGTTTTTTTTCGGTAAAGTCACGTAGGTAAAAACATTAAAAAGTAAAATAAAATAAAATTCACGACGTTTCGGAGGCAACACAAGCTTCCGTCTTCAGGTGGTACCGTCACAGCCACGACAGCTGTATCAAGTAAATATAATTCATTATTATATAATTCATTATATAAACGGAGTGGTAGCTCCTGCAATCTCTCATTTACTTGATACAGCTGTCGTGGCTGTGACGGTACCACCTGAAGACGGAAGCTTGTGTTGCCTCCGAGACGTCGTGAATTTTATTTTATTTTACTTTTTAATGTTTTTTTTACCTACGTGACTTTACCGAAGAAAAAAACCCCTAAGAATATGAATCATTGCAGACACGAAAGCTTCAAATCTATAATTATTAAACCCCCCGTTACTTTATGTCGAGGGGCGTCGGCTGAACTGGTCGTTGGCACTACAGCCGCGAGTTCAATTCCCACTTTCCGAGTGACAAGGAAGCCACGTGGTGCCAGGTTCGTTAAAAAAGACTCGCGTCTCGGGACACATTCCAGCGGTACGACCACGTCGCGCAAAAAAACATAAACGTTTGACCTCGCCGAGAAAATTTCGACGTCCGAAATTGAAAGCCACGTCGGAGCGAGAAGCCCTGTCTTGTGACCTGTGAAATTACCGCCCACTTTCATAGGGTTCCAGTTGCCGAGGATTCGTAGAGGAAATTAAAGGGGCTGTGGGCGAGATCGTCTGTCCAACGTGAATAGCTTTGCACCATTCGTCGCGTGCGATGCATTGCTCGGCAGCCAAATTGAAAACAGCATGCGCGGTGCACAAATCCAATTCTGAGCGATCGACAAAAATGGCCTGGCGCTGCCCGCATGCGGTTACAGCCATTTGGCTCCGTCGGGTGAAATCGCATCCAAGAAAATGTGGGTAGGGGGGGGGGCCTTCGAGTTTGCCCCGCGCGTTTCGTCTGAAGGCGCGCGACAAAACAGTCGGATGGGGCTCTCGAGCGAGGGATGACGGCCACGTCTAGAGGGCCCTGGCGAGCGTTCGCACCGACGAATTCGACAGATCGCTCGCCCCCTTCAAGGGTGGGCGGCTGTCTCAGCCGTCAAGCGACAACCTGCACCGTCATGAGCGCAGCTCCTCACCACTCGCCCCGCAACAGCGGTCGTCGTTCATTCTCTTCGCAGTGAACGCCGGGTTTCTCGACGAGACGTCGAGCTTGCGTTACGAATTACCGACACGAAAGGCTGTAAAAGTTAAGGATGTGATTTTTTTTCTCTCTCTCTCTCATACAAATGACGCCGTATATGTGCGTTGAACCTCATCAAGAGTCCAGTCAGGGCCTCTCACTGACACTAGTTTTGATATTACATCAAGAACAGCAGTGCTGAGTTATGCCCCATGACGTTCTGCCCCGTAATAATAGAAAGTGGCAACAGTTTATCGTGGATTTTCGTAAGGTGCAATGAACCTGAATACAGGTTAATGCAGATAATGCAAATGACTGCATCACAGATGTTGACACTGAAAGCAGAGTAGGGACTAAAGGCTTAGCTTTGATTATAGGATTGGCCTTTGTCACTGTACTCCCTGACACACTGTTGCTTATTACGACCTATACATATTTTTTTTATTTTACACTACATTATAAAACTCAAAATGTTATCATTACATCAGTTCTAACCAATTAACAAATCTGAATGTTTGTATGGAGCTGTGAATTGTATCTACATGAATTATGGCACCAATATGGATACATGTCAAAATGTAAATATGTTTTGCAAAATTATGTTTTAATATGTATGACAGAATAAAGCAATGCCTACTATGATTTTATAATAATTGCACAAAGCCAATACATTTAATTCATTTAGCTCTGGATTATATCTTGTCACATATCACTACCACTCAACCTCTTATGACACAAAAAAAACCCAAAGGCTACTGTGAGGTTGCTGTTATCCAAACAAGGCTGCTTTGAGCTGTAATTATTGTGGACAGTGTCACCAATTTTCCACTGCCACATCCGCAGGGCAGAACCCTCATAGTAATGTGGTGTTCCACTGGCTATTTCGCGTGACGAGCCAGATCCACATTGTGATAGGGTGGCTGAACACAAGATCGGAATCTGGATCACGCTCAGCCATGCTGGATCAGAGGTAGGGCCCGGTGTGACATTATCTACACAACTCGGATTCCGTAGTGGAAGAACTGGCATCTCTTATAACTGCACCGGGTTTGTCTGGGCACGGCTCTGGCGTGGCTCGGTTGTAAAGTGGAAAAGAGGTACGTGTGACCACTGCATCGTTGAAGACTTATAAATGTCCACGTGAATATTTTCACGCTGCAGAAAAATAAAGAGCGTATCATACATATTTGCTTAAAGTTTTTGATATCCGGCAGTTTAAAATCTACCGTAGATAATAAGCACTGTATGTAAAACAAGTTAAAAAATTTGAGATTTTTTCAAAATGTAATTTAATGGAGTGAAAAATTAAATGCATTTATTAAAAATATTATGAAGGCATCTGATATTTTGTTTTGCCCATTACATACTGTGGTTCTATCAGAACAACATATTTCAGAGGATCTAAAACACATAATTTTAAAGGTAGGATAATGAATTCATTAAGTATTTTCAACGGTCAAATTTTAATATCGACTATTTTTGTTGTGGTCGATCATTTGGGTTCTTCCCGAAGGTGGGAAACCTCTTACAGGACACAAGTGTGACGCAGCTGATGATGTCACCATGCCTCGCCCATTACCTCCCGTACAGCGTCATCCGTGGCTATTTTCGTGTTATCAGTTTAGTTGAGTAATCAAACCAATAACTGGTGAAGTAATAGATTAATTACATATGGAATAGCCCAGCTTCATCCACTTTGCTTCTGCAATGCAACATTATAACCACAACAGGCTTGCAACATGCCACTTCGGGCCACAAACTTTATACATTCAAAGTTCCCAAGCAGCCCTGGGTGTATGCATCATTTAGACAAACGCACAACTGGCCCATGTTTGAAAGCTTTTGCTCCTATACAGCAAACCACACACCAGTGAACCATTCCAAACGCCATATTCTTACGAGGACCCTCAATTAATTTAAAGTGCGAAAGGGAATATATGCATTTCGGTAATGTGCGATCGACTGAACACTCCCCACCCCCAAAGGATTGGATCCAGCAGCAGCAGCAACTACGAGTGGCGACACGCTATTTCAAGTCCAGTAATTTTTCAGCGTGAACCGTTCCCAATGGTCCAGCTCACTAAGGCAGGGGAATGTTGCACAGCATAATGTGCTTGAACAGTGCCTGTTCCACAGGTTCACTTTGGCAACTTACATCCCGAGTCAAGACCACGCCGGGTGTTACTGCTCTTGAGCGAAGCACACGACGAGACCGTTGTGAACACCAACAATGCTTTACACAAAAAAATGCTTCACTTCAATGAAGGGGCGTGCTGGAAATAGTCACTAACCCACACGTGCATTTTAAGATAACATTCTATATTAATTGGAACACTTAACAGTCTATTTTTTTTATATATGTTTTATTGCACCGTGTCTCCCCGCAGATGCTGCAGATGGCCTCAATAATGAACTTAATAATTCGCTCATGTTCACACACTTGAGTTGTCGATGGTCGATGAGAGCCTACTTTTTTTGACAATATTTTGTGGGTTATCAAGTATTTGTCTCCAGCAGACCCCTCCATCGTACTCCTAAAGCCATACAAAAAATGGACCATCATCTCCCTGCCTTTCAGCAACCAACCAATGACGCGGTCCCAGTCGGCCCCTGCTGATTTGCTTGAGGTCGCTTAGTTGGGTGGTTGGTTCGAAAAGAGCAACGGAATCAAGAACAATCGACCCTGTGGATAACGTCCCTGGTGAGGACAATTCGCGAGGTGCCACTTGTGAAAGCATGGAGCATGGTTCCCGGTCTGGCGTAAAATCCACTCGCACCTGATCGCGTTCAAAGTTCGGCAGGTCCTCTGCAATCACGGAGCCCGCCAATAGCGCACGAATGCACTGCACTGGCCGTAACAGCAGCACTCGATTTTTAAAAAAATGTATCAATGTGGTGCTCGTCATTAATTTTCGTGAAGATAATTAGTAAAAGGCTTGATCAATCCAAAAATAGGCTTCAACGTACAATCAACATTTAGATTAGTATGTGCTGCCCCCTAACGGACGTTTACGAAAGTGCTTTTAATCCCCGGTATACCTGCGAATGGCATTGGATGCTGCTTCCATCCTCTCTGATATGAAAAGCACACTCCACCATTCCGTCACTCGCAGACAAGCCGCTCCATCGAGGGAAATCTAAGAGGCACAGCAGTGTCGCATGTACTGTGGAGCCTACTATTCACTGTTAGGGGATCCGTCTACTCTGCTTGGCCTTTGCACCCCTCTGTTCTATATTGCTATTTTGCCACCAGCATTTTGCTCATCTGCATAACATGTAGGCCCAATTACGCAGCAACTAATCTGCTGCTACTGGCAAATTATTGTGAGAATGTTACCATGTAAAGGGGCAATAATAATAATAATGGGTTTCAAAACAGCTGATGTCTAAAAGCAAAATAAGACGAGGAACATTGAGGCATCGTACACAAGTTCCAGAGACTAACCAGTGCCAACAAGATTAACCAACGACAACGACCAGCATGGTTATTTATCCCCTTCACGTCACAACCTGCGTGGAATAAAGACCCCGACGATTAGCACTTGGCATAATAAACCGAATACCGTGTGCGGCGCACGGCAAATCCTCGGCTGGTATACAGGACGTGAATTGATGCGGTTTTTTGTCAATCCCTAGAATGCCTCCACTTAAGTTATTAGAGGGTTGTTATCATTATCCGTGTGATCAGAGGGCTCTGGAGGACTTTGAACGCAAGTGTATGGTTTGAGGTACGAATGGGTGTTATGAACGTGAAGAGGCGGAGGATAAGGGATTTGGAGGATTAAATGTATTTTCTTGAAAGTGCCAATTTGGGAACTTGTTTAGCACTGCCATTAGAATTAAGGCACTCCACCTGCGGAATACCGAAACAAAAAGGTTATATGGCTGTGATTGCGCTTAAAAACAAACAAAAATTAAGTGGACAGACAAAGGTTGCAGAATTAACCCGACGGGAAGATCAGCATATAGCGCAACATGTTAAATCAATCCACCAGGTTGTAATTGCATGTTCATTTCTATTAATTACACTTACAGTTGAACACAATTGATTGCAATTATAAAAGCAGCTGACATTTACGATCATCATTTACTCTAAAAAGCATTTTTTTCCCAAACGTTCACGACGAGCACCCAAAAGGAAATAACAGAAATAAAAAAAAACCACACCGCACTCTCTTATGTACAGATTTGGCATACAAATATAATAAGATATATTCCTATGTATAAAGGTTGATTGTGGTACAGCTGATTATACGATGCCCTAATGGCATGTGTGCAGACTGTACACAACAGGTGCTGGCGTATACTCCTAGCAAACAGAGCCACACGTTTCACACACACACACAAGCCACACGTTTCACACACACACACAAGCCACACGTTTCACACACACACAAGCCACACGAGCAGGGCGTGGAATCTGGCAGGGGTTCATGAAGTGAAGAAGCCCGGACGCAGTGGTTGAACATTCCAAACACCGGAAGCCAGGGAACCCAATCATCCCGTGCTCACAATTCTTAACGCGCCAAACAGAGCTCAAGTGGCATGTCCGCACGGCGTGTTGTCCGCAGAGGCCAAGGGAAGGCGCGCAGAGGAGCACAAAGGTGAGGCACGTTTGGTGCCATTCCTTCGCAAGTCGCTGTGGGAGGAGCTTCCAGCTGATGGACCCCCCCACACCCCCCTATTGTATCGAGTTCATGGCTTTGCGTCACGTAAGGTGCTGGTCCCCACCGAGTGTCCTCATTGGTTCACATCTTGGCAGCCGCCCTGCTCCCGCTTGGTGCGCGTTCATCACATCCCCTGGACGCTCCGGTGCCACCTGATGCCACTTTTCAGAAACTGCAAGTGTTGGCGAGCCGACGATTGCATGAGCCAGGAGGGCGAGAAGGGGAGGCTTAGTCATGAAGTCATGAAGGTGCATTTTCTTTTGCCTGCCAAATGCTTCTTCTGGGTCAACTGGCACACCCGGTTGGGTGAGAATGACTTCAAACAAATTAAGATACTTAAAAGGTGACATTCCATTTGAATTCATAATTTTTCAATGTACACTTTATTCTGTTTTCACAAAGAATGTTGTGATACCGAGATTACATGGCTTTGTTACTTTCCTCAAGGAATAAAAAACTCCATTGTGTGCTTTAATCTTCACAGTTAGCCTGCAAAGTCGAAGACAATTTGAATTGAAGAACTGCCAGGCACAATGTTTTAGAGATTCACAAATCTCCTGTGCTACCGTGGTGCTTTGCCAACAATCGACCGGTTCCCTAAAACTCTACATAGGGTGGTGCGCGTGCCCTCTTCAATGCCAACTGCTGTTCAAAACACCCTGAAAGAGAACACGTCAGACACGCGGTTAACATCGCCGTCTGCGTGTGTGACTTATGACGAATGCCCTCCCACTGCGTGCAGACATCGGCGCGGGGAAATCCCGTGGCAGTGCAACAACAAACTCGGATCGACTTACAAACGTCACGGGCGCCTCTTGGTTGTGCTTCAGAATCAGTCCGAAGGGTGCTCTGGGCAGGATCGATTCACCTCGAACCAGGAATCGATACACCTGCAGCATGGGATAGGCACCGGCGGGCATCAGAATGCAGCGAATGCTCGAGTGCATGCAAAGGACCTTGGCCAATGTGGCACAGAAAAACAACCCCGAGGTCATTAGTGTTTGCTGGGCGGTGAGTCATGTGGCTTCATGCTTTAACCGTTCAATCAGAATTCATGGCATTCACCATCCTGTTTATCAAGCACACAGTGGCCAAGAGGGTTGGTTACGTCTCTGTTTAATGTTAATACGCGTGATGGAGTCATTCTTTAACTTTGACATGTGGCTCTGCAAGAGAGGTTTTTAAATAAAGTTATTTGTTCTTTGCCTTGGTGTATAAACACGGGATGATCCGTTTATGGATAACCCACCGATTCTAATCACATACTCGCTTTCTGCTCAATTGTTGATATTGAGAGAGAACGACGACTCCACATCTTACGGTGGAGTGTGCCGAGTTTATTGGGAGATGTGCAGAGTCGTCAAAATAAAACCTCGTGTTCTCTACAATCCCACCCTGTTATTTTAGTGGGGGTATCTACCAATGGATCACCCTGTAAAGTGAAACTCGTGTTACAACACGGAGCGGGACGGAATGTCGCATCGCGACCCCACGAGGGATAGCGACGACTTGGGGATGCCTTCGTGCAGCAGTGGATAGATCACGGCTAATGAACGATGATGGTGGTGATGGTGATGAGATATACACACGTGGTGAATTAATGCTGTCTTCTTGGTTCTTTCGGTAAAGTCACGTAGAAGGGAAGTAATAAAATAATAAAAATAAAACATAATAAAATAATTCTCACGACGTTTCGGCCACAACACAAGCAGCCGTCCTCAGGTGGAGAATGAAACACCACCAAGCTTGAGGACGGCTGCTTGCGTTGTGGCCGAAACGTCGTGAAAATTATTTTATTATGTTTTATTTTTATTATTTTATTACTTCCCTTCTACGTGACTTTACCGAAAGAACCAAGAAGATGAATCCCTGCAGTCACGAAAGCTTTAAATCGAAAAAGAATTAATGCTGCTTACTGTTTGTGGTAGATACAGAGGCAGGGCAACCGGGCAATAGTGTTACCCTCATCCATGTCGTCCAGGCAGATGGGACATTCCCCGGAATCCTTGACCAGCACATCCTCTGAACACAAACACAAGACGATGATCAGACAAACTCGTTTAGCCTTGCAGACAGTAGACATGTACGGTTTCTCCCCAGCAGCAATGCTGACACACCACACAAGGCACTCATTTTAGACCGAGTCACCCGTGGGGAAACCCAGGGGTCAGGTTCAGATGAACAGTTTCCACCGGTCTGGAGCATCGCGCACCGGAAATTGAACGCAGGTTCATTGCAAACGTAGCGCGGCTTCAATCAAATTGGTTTGTGTTACAGTGGTGTTGCGTATCGATGCGCGAGCGTCCCTGTTCACAAAGCGAGGAGTGGTGGCCTAAGGGTTAGCTCCGCCGTGCTACCATCGCAATAAACACCGCGTTTCATTCCTGTGCATCACAGCCAGGGATCTGACACAGATTTATTGCGATTGCCGCAAGGTGCGCCACCAACCCCCCCCTCCCCCCCCCCTGCGTGCAGCTGCTGCTCCTCGCTCGGTAACCAGACAACTCGCGCGCCTCCGATTAGCACGGTTGGCTACGTACGGTGCGAAAAAAGTTCACACACAAAGACAAACATCCCCCATATAATTTTCGATTTAAAGCTTTCGTGACTGCAGGGATTCATCTTCTTGGTTCTTTCGGTAAAGTCACGTAGAAGGGAAGTAATAAAATAATAAAAATAAAACATAATAAAATAATATAATATAATATTTTATTATGTTTTATTTTTATTATTTTATGACTTCCCTTCTACGTGACTTTACCGAAAGAACCAAGAAGATGAATCCCCCATATAGCCCTAACAGACTGTAGGGGCAAGTGCTGTTAGCGTGCACCTATGAAGGCCGGAACGGTCCACGAGGGGGTCGGTGGCCAGCACCACGCCCAACAGTGGCGATGTTTACACACTGCACCAGGTACTCATTTGAGGCTGAGTTGACCTAGGGGAGGCCCGGGACCGGTTCAGATAATCGTCACCGGTGTTGGCCGTGAGCGGGAATCGAACCCGTGTCGCCGGGTTCATAGCGCAGCGCGCTAACCGCTACACTACCGCTTCCCACACACACACACACAAACATTCCCCGTATAGCCTGACCAGACTGTTGGGGCAAGGGCCGTTAGCGAGTAGCACCTACGAAGGCCGGCACGGCACACATACAGACGTACACACGTCGATACGCGAGACCACTGTGACGCGCACGACGAGAATGTTTTTAACGCCCCGCGGGTGGCGAGGTGAAGGGAATAACACGCCAAGCCGTCGGCGTGTGGCCTGCCTCGTCTGTGGCTACTGGATGGATATTGCTCCCAGCCGTACATCAAAGCAGGCAATGAAACCGGCAACAGAGCGTGCCAATGCTCTCCTTTCCCCAGGCATACAAGCGCGCTGTACTGAAGAGTGTTAAAAAGAGGGCACGCGTGTGAGCAACGGTGTCAGCCACAGTTGTCGGTGGGATGTTTAGGAGTTCTCATTTAGGTTCATTGTTGTTATTATCATGATCACTTTGCTTCACTTGCCGCTCAAAATATTACGATCGCTTTATTTAGGCAAATGACGGCCCATCAAAACGTCTTTCAGGAATATAAAGAGTATAGGGCAGTTACTGTTAACGAAATGAAACACGCTACTGCCTAGTTTCTCAATTAGTTACCGATGAGTAACTAATTGGCACGTTTTGCTTACGTGACAAACCTTTTCTAATTGGCTGTGTCGGGTGGTGGCGGGTTTGACGACACATTGATATTTACGCCGCGATCTAACCCAAAACAAAAAAAACCTTTATTACGAATAATATTGCTCGTGGAAGCCTACCACGTGTTAAGCTGACTCAGGCAAGACAAGTTATGAACAGCATTACGGCAATTTAAAATCTTCCCTAGCGGAGGGGTGGCTCTCGAAATCGCGGGCTGGCGGCGTGCCGTGTGGCAGGCGTGCCAGTGTGGCAGGCGTGCGATGTTCACGAACAACAGCTCCTGTACACCCCCCACCCCCCCCCCCACGAGAGGTTCCCTTGGCAGCAAGGACAAAGCAAAACGACGTTCGGCTGGCACATGACGCCGGGGTTGCTACGAGCTTCCAGGAAACGGTGGAAGCTCGGCCCATCGGGGGGCCCCAAAGTAAAAATCACTTTTTGGCACCAGCCCGCCGCCCCACACTTTCAATTCATAAAACCCTTAGTGAGATGACGGAAGAAAAATAGACCCGAGGGATGGAGGAGTCGTGAAATGAGAGACATTTTGATAACAGATGTGGCTGAACGTATGAGATGAGACAAGGGAAACAGACAAAAGCTGCGGTGTAGAAAAGAGATGAAGACGGAGATAGATGGTAGAAGAAGATACGCAGACAAGACAAGAGAGAGAAAGAGATAAAACATGTTTGCATGTAAATGAGCTTCTTATGTTTATTAAACTTTGAATTCGCGTTGATATTTGGTTCACCCCCATTTATTTTCCGGGGGAGAGGGGGGGGTCTTGAGCTCCTTGGGTACCTTAACGTTTGCTCGGTTTGATTGCGCCCCGCGCACCTCCGATAAGCACGGTCGTGAGAAAGAGGTTCAATATACATACACATGCGTAGTGGCAGATCATCTAGGGAATGGAGTCGTGTGCAGAGACCTCGCGAGAACACAGCGAATCTAGCTGCTGCCACTGCAAAATAGTGGCGGTGTGTGAAAGACAGACTGGTTTTGGTATCTGGGTGAAAACCTGTTGCTTGTTGATAGAACCAGGTACGGATAAAAAAAAAGAGAAATGCAAACAATTCTAGCAATGTAAGTGTAAACAGATAAAAAAAAGACCTTTCCATGTAAGGAGCTAATGAGGGCACTGCAGCACAACACGCAGATGGTGTACGGGACAGGTACCTTTACGTTTTGTCAAAATATGTTTTTGTATGTATGCATGTCAGAGGTCGCAACCGGGTACCCGATACCCGTACCCTACCCGATACCCGGCTACCCGTACCCGGCCAGGTACGGGTACCCATTTGCGACCCTGGTGCAGCCGGGTACGGTTACGGGTAAGGAATCAAAACCCGTTTGCGACCTCTGATGCATGTTGAACTTCTTTCTTACAGTACATTAGCCAAATCGGAGGTGCGGGTGGGGGGGACTATTTGTTGATTTCATTATTTAACGATGCCGTGACGGGGCGCCAAGATGTCTTTGAGTGTTGCTGCGGGTTACGTAAATGTGCAATGTGCGTGTTTGAATTTGATTAAAAACAAAAACATGAAAACATTCATATGGAGGGGTTGGAGTGGTGAGCGCACCGAATTCGATTCCCAATCACAGTTAACATCAGTGGCGAGTGATACCTCAACCAGTCCTCGGCTCCCCCCATTCACAAACCCACACTGACCAGAGTGGTGAAGTATGGTCAAACAACCCCTATGACCGACATGGTGTGAGGCTTCCATCCAGCAGTGGAATGACTGTAGGTACACTTACAAGTAGAGCACATCCGCACAAGCCTAATTATTAGGCATGTAAAAAATATTTTGACTATAATTGATTCTTACAACAGTCATGCGTGTACAAATAATGTACATTTCATGTAAATGCTAAGATATGACCTTGAAGCTAATTCAACAAAACAGACAATGTAAATGAGTAGGGATCGAATGATTCAGAGTTTAAATGAATTGTCAAAATGTAGGGTCGCGATCCCATTCGAGAATTGTACTTTTCTGGACACCAAAGTGCATGTAGCGCCTCCAGTGACTGCAGAGGTGACGTTTAATCCGTTACGTGCAACGCACGCGGAATGAAAAAGTCGATGCCTTCACACGTGATTTGATTCACGTGTCGTGAGCTTAATAATTCACGTGAAATGATAAATCAGTGCCATTCATTGTTCAGCCCCTGCAAACAAGGACTGAAAAAACAAGCAAAGACAGAATACAATCTTGAATTGTAACTCTGAACTCTATTTTTGGTTTCATTTTCATTAACGTTGACAAGATCTTGTGTGGGCAGGCTGCATTCAAACCTTGAGGGCTGCCACCGAGTTTATCAGACCGAGACGTTGCCGTCGGCACCACAGCTGGGCTGCTTCGTCGGCTAATCGGCAACACCTTCAACGTTCGGGATATTCCACACGCGCATGCTGGCCGAGCAGGACATCTTAGGGGGGCGACAGCGTTCCTTGAAGACGAATCTTATCGACCCCTTAAGATGTCGGAGCAGGACATCTTAGGGGGGCGACAGCATTCCTTGAAGACGAATCTTGTCGACCCCTTAAGATATCGGAGCAGGACATCTTAGGGGGGCGGCAGCGTTCCTTGAAGACGAATCTTGTCGCCCCCTTAAGATGTTGGAGCAGGACATCTTAGGGGGGCGGCAGCGTTCCTTGAAGACGAATCTTGTCGCCCCCTTAAGATGTCGGAGCAGGACATCTTAGGGGGGCGACAGCGTTCCTTGAAGACGAATCTTGTCGCCCCCTTAAGATATCGGAGCAGGACATCTTAGGGGGGCGGCAGCGTTCCTTGAAGACGAATCTTGTCGACCCCTTAAGATATCGGAGCAGGACATCTTAGGGGGGCGACAGCGTTCCTTGAAGACGAATCTTGTCGCCCCCTTAAGATATCGGAGCAGGACATCTTAGGGGCGCGGCAGCGTTCCTTGAAGACGAATCTTGTCGCCCCCTTAAGATATCGGAGTAGGACATCTTAGGGGGGCGACAGCGTTCCTTGAAGACGAATCTTGTCGACCCCTTAAGATGTCGGAGCAGGACATCTTAGGGGGGCGACAGCGTTCCTTGAAGACAAATCTTGCCACTCGAGAGGGTTTTTTTGTTTTTGCCAGTGTGGTGACCACCTTCCCGGGCAATCAGACTGTGCTTGCATGGCTCGCGCGGGAACGCAACTGACCGTTGTACGAGATGTGAGGCTTGGTGAGGCACATGACCAGGTGCGCCTCAACTTCATCCGAGGCCACGAACTTGGAGCAGATGGGGCACTTGAGGCCTGAATGTGGGGGAAAAAAAACCCAGAAATTAACATGAGAGTTCAACGCAGGGGCTTTCAAGGTGTTTTATCCATAACGATGCCAAACCTGCAATCTATATGTATATTGAATTAGGCATGTAATCATTCAACAGCACAACATTTAATACATTGTTATGATTCGGGGTAATGATTTGATTCAAGAAATCCTTCCTTTTTGTCTTGTTTGTACTCTTTGTGATGTGTCGTGTGTGTGATCAGTGCCGCTTGTATGGACTCACCTCTCCTGTCTAGTTTGTACAGCCATGCTTCTACCGTCTATCTCACCAGCATTGTCCATCGTCTTTGTACTGTCTCCTTTGTACTGTGTTGTCTGTACTGTTTTGTTTGATAGTAACATTTGCACAGTCTTGTTTGTAGCGTCTGCACCGTTTACTTTGTATTCTCTCCATTTCCCTTGTACCGTTCTGTCTCGTTAAATTTTGTCCGTCTCAATTATACTCTTTCTCATTTGTGATACCTTGCTGAGCTGTCATCTGTATTGTCCATCAAAATTGTCCTGTCTGTCCACATGGTTCAACGTGTCCCCTTCGTTTGGGCCTGATCATGAAAAATCTACATACAATTGGCATGAAAAAGTCAATGATCGATTCTTACACAAACAGTTCGATGCGTGGGGAAACAAATTAATTGTTAATGCCCATATTTAATACCGAATGTCACCCTGACCGGTTATTTGCAATTGCTTTACTTAACTGTTGGGAAGAGCCAATTGAGACAGATCTGTGGCAAAGGAGTTCTGTTAAGCCCCAAGTGCCACCGAGATCACATTATAACCTCCCATGTGCAGCCCGGGCCAACACAATCACATTAGAGTATTGACCAGAGAAGACACTCAAACCCACAAAGATGTATCAACTCATACGGAACACTGGAGTCACCGTTTACAAGGAGTGCAAAGGTTAAGCATTTTTTTTTTTGGCAACGTAATGCATTTCTTAACGCCCGCACACAACTTCGCAATCGATTTGTTTGGACACATCGGAAATATAATTTACAACTCGAACTGGCCACTCATTTTTAGGTGGCTGCATGTGCCGGGGCGGGATGGAACGGCGGTGCAGAGGTTCATGCCCTACACTATGAACTTGCAGACCCCAGTTATATTCCTGGGCACGGTTAAAAACAGCGACGAGTGAAATGTTAATTGGTCCTGTGCCCCAGTTAACCGACACACATTGACCAGTGTAGTGTAGGATAGTCAAATAACCCTCATTACGCGGTAAGGGGAAGCCTTTATCTAGCAGTGGACTGACTAAGGGATGTAAAGGCTAAGAGAGCCGTGGCTTTTTAAAGACAACTACAATGTCTGTTAACTGCACAAATTAACCCATTCAGTACAAATGTTGACTTAAAACTTTCGTGACTGCAGGAATTAATTTTCTCTCCGCCTGATGACGACCGCTTGTGTTGCGATCGAAACGTCGTGAGTTTTTGGTTTTTATAAACGTTTTATTATTTATAATTTTATTATTTTCTATCTACGTGACTTTACCCAAAGAACCAAAGAATATATATTTAGTACATATTGGTTTTGCACTGAATTTGGCTAAATTCCAGCTCTGATAATTATAAAAGAACATCAGCTTGACTGTTACGCGATGAACATTACACTGTGGCAGGGCAGGTTGGAAAAGTGCTGCCCAAAAGTGTGGATAAGAGGTCACATGGGTTCTTGTACTGCTCTGCGATAGATCCGAATGGAATCTTCATCTCATTATGCACAATTGGGGCAACATTGGGGGAAAAAGACAAAAATAACCTGTTGGGTCCAAGGGAGACCTATGGTTCATATCTATACCAAAGACAAAGATCCCCTGTATAGCCTGAGCAGACTGTTGGTGCAAGTGCTGTTAGCGAGCACCTATGAAAGCCGGCACGACACACGAGGGGGTGGGTGGCCAGCACCACACCCGACCACCTTTGTCTCCCCAGTGGCGATGTTTTTACACAGTGCACCAGGTGCTCATTTGAGGCTGAGTCGACCTAGGGGAGGCCGAGGAACGGTCCAGGTAATTGTCACTGGTGTTGGCCGTGAGCAGGAATCGAACTCTGGTCGCCGGGTTTGTAGCGTAGCGCGCTAACCGCGTGCGCTGCCGCTCCCCACAATCTACACCTCCACATGCACACGCGGACAAAGGGCCACAAGCACATCCTTCCTGAAGAATTGAGTGCACAACTAAAGCTTTGTACTTCCTGCTCAAAAGCCCAACACGCAAGTCACAAGAGCTGTACAGAACTAAAATGAAACTGAAAAGAGCAATATCGTGGTTGCCCTTGCGCATCGTAATTAGGGACCATCTGCCAAGAAGCGACACATTTTTTCATCGTCCTTTGGCCCGACATTTTAAAATTTCCTTGAATTGTACTTTAAGCTGTCAGGAAATGCTGCGCAAACTTCCAACTGTATGCAGAGCTGTCTCAACACGAAGCCAGGGGTCCTGTGCAGTTGCTGGCGAGGGGGGGGGGACTTAGAGACGTAGGGTTAAGAGGCCAATACAATGCACCATGGGCCAGCACCACGCCCAACTGCCTTTGTCTCCCCAGTGCTGATGTTTACACTGTTCAACAGGTACTCCTATAAGGCCGAGTTGACCTACAGGAGGCCTGTGACCGGTTCTGATAGTACTCGCCACTGATGTTAGCCGTGGCTGGTAATCAAACTCAGCTCGGCGGCTTTATAGTGCTTACCAGTTAACCACCGCACCACCGCTTCCTGCTACACGCAGATACAAGAAAGAGAAATGGAGACACTCAGAGAGACATGAAGTGGGACAGACATGGAGAGAGAGACATTGTGATAGACATTGAGAGACGGAGAATTATGGGGCACTAACTGTATGGGCGCGTACCGCCATATAATACTCTCAGCTTTCATCATGTTTTACTTTCTTTGTTTATTGCGTTTATGTCATTCGCAAGAGTCGGCGACTGCGTGCAGGTGCATTGGTCCAAATAACAAAAAAATCACTCACATATTGCTCAATTGGGATTATACATAGCAATCATCGCCTTCCCCCCACTGTGAAAACTTCACAGGACCCTCCTGAAAAAGAGCCACGGGGTTCGGTGAGGCTTTTCTGAGTAAACAGGCGAAATTATAATAACATCTCAAACTCATTGGTTTATTTTGACAGCGGTGAGCCTTCCCCGCACGCAAAAAAATGCAACCGAATTAAATTACAAAACAGGACAGAGTGAGGTAGAGGCAGCGCCAGTGGCAGCAAGCTGATGCCCTCTCCCAGGGGGCACCGTATGCGCGAGACAAGCCGGGTCGGGAGCCGAAGTGAAGAGAACTGAATTGTCAATCCGTCCTTCACTGGGTGGGGCCTGGTATGATTGTGACGCCTAGGGGTGTAAGAAAATTCCCCACGACACAATCTTGCAAGAAGGGAACACCGTGTGCCAATGCGTACAATAACGCAATCATTGGCTTAGCACCCAAACAATAAAGCATAATTGAGAACACAGAAAAAACGTTGCATGAGTCACCATATTTTGCTTTACGTTGCAATAAATTCAGTGTCTCATTTCTGAACTCCCCGTGTGCGATCAAGAAATCTCGTGGGTCATTGCCTCAAGTATATCGAGCCCCCCCCCCCCCTCCCCGGTTTACCAGAGTACAGGCAGCCTTTGACGCCAGCCGCCACGTGAACATTACACGCATACTTTCCACCGCTAAACAACAACAAGCGGATGGCTGGTAACAGCAGGCCCTCCCCAGGACAGCAGACCAACAACGGGTTCAGCCGCGAGTGGCCGCCGCCGCCTTGTTCCAAACAGGCTGGAGGCTGCGGAAACAGGAACCGTGTCACCGTAACCCAGAGAAAGGGTGATGACGCTCCAACCCCTACCGTTCACCATTAAACCAACTCCCACCGAGGTCGACTGGAGCGTTCATCCCACCTGTCAGTGGATGTCTGCAACGATTGTAAAAACCCTATGGCTGCTTGGGGCTGTAATGATAATAAACAAGGTAGAGGAGCAGCCCTGCAATTCCATGCTCAAGCACTTCAAACCACCGAGGTGTACCCATTGATATTGCTGGGTGAACGGAAGCAGGGAAATTTAAGAAAACCGCCGTGCCAGGAGAATGAACTGGCGAGCGACCTCTGCATTTCAAGTCGAGCGAGCTGACCATTACACCACGGCATCAACAACAACAACAATAATGCCCTTAATTTACCCAATACATCCTCACTGAGTTGCAAGACTCGGTTTTGTCGGGAGAGTACTGCATTGGGATATCTGGCACATGCTGTTTGAGATTCTCTGGAATGTGAGAGTACTGTCCCTGGAGAAAACCCACGCTTACAAGGGGAGAACATTCCAATCTCCGCATGGATAGCTTCAAGCACCTAATGCTGTACTACCATAATTTGGACACCTTGCCGCAAAGTAGGTGTATCTAACCAGGTACAAATCTGCTCAGCTTTCAAAATCTGGCATATCTTGTCGCGGCTTACAATAACCCAGCCTTTAAGGTTATACAGATGTGCGCAAGTCTCCGACAGCATTTTCTGCCATTGAAGGTTCTCGTCATGACATACCTACGAAAACAAAGAAAAATCTCTCTCCCTACGCACACTACCATGGAGATAACAGTTCACCACCACAGCAATGCGTAGGCCATTGGTGCAATGTGACGCGGTGATAGGATTTTACATGCGCACTTGCGGTTGACAGAGTGATAAGTGCACTCGGATGTCAGCATAGAGCCGTTGTTCTTGCATTGTTACGCACCTTCTCGGGACACACAGTACCCTGGCCTTCACGACGACGGCATCCAAGACATGAGTGACATGTAGACAAACAACACAGGTGTATTGACAATATAGCTGTGGTATTGTATAACGTTTCGCAGGTGAAAATAAACTGAAAATATGCTGTTTATATAACAATGGTTTTGTGCCAAAAGTCAAAACTCAAAGCCACCCGCATGTTTTGATAAAATAATAAAG